TTTATACGAAAATTTTTAATTTTAAATAAAATAAAATTAAATGCGTTTTATGTTGTATTTTTTATGCAATTAATTTGATTCAATTAATGGCGGTTTAATTATTTCCTTTCCTTATTTATATATAACAAGCAACAAATATTTATGAGTTATGATATTTTGAAAATCATTTAAATAAAATTGTTTTCCTGGAAATCTCTAACTCAGAGCGGGCTGTACGCGATTACATAACGTTTCCTGAAAATGGTTAAATTGACGTCGACGACAATTCTATGTAATCTTCATGCACATCTATGGTTATATAAGGCAGATATCACTTTCTTTAATCCGTTTTACTTCTCGCGATTCACCTAATATCTTCTAACGTTGCAGACGGTTGTAGCAAACCGTATGTATTTTACTTTTTTTTTTTTGGTATTTTAGGTGGCAATGGTGGAACTGCAAATAAATGAACCGACGGCGGTTCCGGAATGGCTGTTTGTAATGTTTGCCGTTTGTACCACTTTCTTGGTATCGGTGCACATCTTTGCACTGATGATCAGCACGTATCTTTTACCCAATATCGAGGCCATAAGTAAGCTTCAAGTTTCACGACTCATAACGGAGTCGCCCCACGAGAGGATGCGCGGTTTCATCGAATTGGCTTGGGCATTTTCCACGATACTCGGACTGTTTCTCTTTCTAGTAGAGGTGGCTATTCTCTGCTGGGTCAAGTTCTGGGACTATTCCTTTACCGCTGCCACTGCCAGCACCATAATAGTCATTCCCGTGCTCATAGTATTCGTCGCTTTCGCTGTTCACTTTTATCACTCTTTGGTAGTTTACAAATGTGAAAGTGTGGTATCAGATATGAAGGATTTGGAGAGCATAAAAAGGAACTTGGACAACGTAACAATAGGGCAAACTAATGTATAAGTTCGAGACAATAATACAACCTGTAATATACAATATTATGTATACAAATAATTATCCTAAATGAAAAAGAATGCATTAAAGATAGGCTGATAAATAAGAATATCGAATAATGCTCTACGGAGTATAAATTAATTTGTGGCAGGCAGGAATACTCAGGTTTAAAATAGGTGCTATTCTTCAATTTAAAACATCTTTAATGAGAATGACATAAAAAAAAGAACACTATGTGTGGATTTGTTATCAATAACTTTACTTTTCAAACGCGACCATATGAAAATGGCCAAGTTTTATTATATATAAAAATGTACATAGCTGTACACATGCAAGTCGAGAATTGCAACAGTACAAGCGAGTGCTCTTTAGTATATTACCTATATAATATCCAGCATTTAATAATATCTGTGTGTATACGGTTTAACTCTTGATTTTTATTTAAACCTGTTCCTTGATCATTCTATTACTATCATATGTCATGTCGCTAATATACATATATAGTATCTGTTATTACCGCGACACTTAGTTTGCGGAAAAACTGAAGGATAATTGAGTCATTTTATGTACACTTCCTGAAATTTACATAATTTTTCTAGTCAATAAATAAATCGTCAAAGTTTAGGATGTCCATCGAAAAATTTGGTTTCTTACTCTAATGTTAGGAAAAAAAATAAAGATATAATTAATGTATTTCTCGTTTTTACCAAACTAAGTTGTAATCTTATTGTAAACGATTTCTATAATATTATGCCTTAACTTCTTTTATATATTACAAAAACACTCGATCGAAGGAGTCGTTGTAAGCAAAACGGGGAAATATAATTACTTTAGTACAACAAAATTATGTGATACCTGTTGTTATAAATTACAAATTGTATTGCACTAATCTATGTACGAAAACTTGAACGTTTTCTTAAAGATACATGCTACATCGTATTGAAAATTCATTGCATTCGATTATTTTTGCTTAATAAGCAAAATCTCAAATTTATAGAGGCATTACGCAGATCTTATTGTAAAATTTGCCTCTTGAGAACCACATTATCGTATGTACATTGGAAGAGAAAAAAATCAAAACCTACATTACACAAATATAAATGTCATGTTGCAATACGTAAGTTGATAGAAAAGAGAAAAAATACTGTTGAGAAATAAATTGATGATTTGAGCATTAGCCATTATTGAAAACTCTTTTAAGAAATTACCTTCTAAATTGATTAAAATCAATTTTTCAAACGTATCTTTGTAACTTTCTGATGAAATAAGTGGAAGTAATTTAAATATATTTTATTACTTATTTCACTGAATTGTAATTATTATAAAGTATAAAAAAATGATTCGATTGATATATATGTAATAATGGAGAATAAACTGCTTGTGCTATGGACAGGTAAAGAAATGAAGAATGAGATAATATTAAAAACAATTATTCTAAAAAAGTAACAAGATGATATTAGAAATATCTTCTTTTTGAAGGATAAAATTCAAATTCTGTTTTTCTGTTTTTAACTTTACTTTAAAATACCAAATAATTCACATGTCTTCTCTTTATTATATTTTCTATCGGCTAAAAAAAATATTTTTAAAAAACTTG